TTTAAAAAAAAAAAAAAAAAAAAAAAAAAGGATAAGTTTAATATTTTTCAAAATGAAAAATCCCATAAAAAAATTTTTTTAAATAGAATTTTTTTATTGCTCTTCTTTGGATTAACTGCAAATAAAAAAAAGTAAATGATTAATATGTAAAAATATGCATTTAAGAATAATGCTTCAAGTATCACATATGTATATACGAGTAAATATAGGATGCCCTTTAAATTCTTTTATTAATTCATTTAATTTTTTTTTAAAACCTCTGTATTATAGTTATTTTTTTTTAATTATTTTATTATATGACAAGGAGCTTAAGGGATCGACTATTTATGTATTTTGTGCAAATATATATATATATATATATATATATATATATTTAGAAGTATGCATTTATATATAATAGTTGTTATATTAGCACTACATTTATTTAAAAGATTATCCATATATTTTATTTTATTTAATATAATCTTTATATAAAAAAAATTAAGATTAACTGAGAATTTTTATAATTTAATTTTTAGTTTTCATTTAAACGATGATATTTTTGAAATTCTTTTTATTTTTGTATTTATTAAAGTTTGAATAAATGATTTTAATAAAAATTATTAATATTTTTAATTATATAATTTTTTATAAAAATTTTTTATATTACTAATATTAAAAACATCACTTTTTTTTGTTTTTTAACATAATTAAATTTTTGTAATTATAAAAAATTTTTGAAGTACTAACAAGAAAAATGGCATTAAATAAAAAAAAATAAAAATGAAAAAATAGTATGGCTCTAAATAAAAAGCATTGACATGCTTACATTTTCTGAGTTTTAAATGAAAAAATACTATTAAATTATGATAAAATTAAAAGAAAATTTAATTACAATTGTATCTCTATTTACAAATATAAATACACATGTGTATTATTTTTGTATAATTTTTAGAAATGCAAATTAATATGTATTAATTATGAAAAAGGCAAAATTCTAGAAATAAATCTTACAAATCTTTTTAAAATTATTCTTTAGGGATAATATTCATTAGTAGATTCTAGTTCATTTCTTAACAAGGGTACATGTGAAAATTTAAACAAATACACAGAATTAAAAATTTAAAACTTAACACAAAAATATATATGGAAATTATTATTATAAACTGTAAGCATAAAGATATTTAAATAATGAAATGAAAAATAATTCTTTTTTTTCAAAGAACAAACATTATTATAAAAGTGATATAAATAATATATTAAGCCTTAATTCTTTGTAATAAATAAAGCAGAAATATTTTTTTATTTTGATTACTTATATAAATATATGAATAATATGAAAATTAAAATATTTTAATTTAGGCATTTTTATGCTTTATATTTCTATGTTTTTGAAAGAAGTAGGTGATAATAAAATATTGCATTATTTCATATAAAATTCTTATTTTTATTGTAAAATTAAGATATATAAATATTTAAACAGATATATTTATGGTACATTCATTTATAAATGAAAGTTTTTAAATGATAAATTCCTATTTATGCTATCTTATAATAGTAATATTGTATTGAAGGAAAAAATGAATTGAATACAAAACTTTACTCATATTAGAGCTTAAAATTATTGATTTATTTTATTTTTTTTTTTTTGTTATGATTAAAAATTTTTAATTTATAAAATAAAAAGATAATGAGGGATATTAACAATATCCTTTATTAAAATTAAAATATTATAGTATATATATATACTTATTTATTATTAATTAATTTGTAAAAATTAAAATATAAAAAAGAAAAAAAAGTTTTTTATAAAAGCACTTAAATTATTTAAAGAAAATAAAGCTATAATTTTTTTAGTAACAAAAATATTCTTGAAACATATTTTAGATAATAATAAATTTTTATGATGAAAAAAAGTACAATTCTTCTTAAAAATAGGCAGTCATTAGTGCTAACTTATATCAAAGCTTTTTGGTAATATTTTAATAAATTTATTCATGTATAGAATAACATTACAATATTTTTAAAGCATTTTAAATTAAATTAAAAGATTATGTTATTTTATGCTCTGTTTGAAAGTTTATTTGATTATTCATACATATTTATTAAAAAAAAGACAATACTACTATTATAAAAGAAACTTAAAAAAATTAAATTGAAAAAATTTATAAATTTTAAAAAATATATAAATGCAAGGAATATAAAAAAAAATTATAAATAATTTTAATTAAATTAATATTAAAATAAAAAAAAAAAGAATAGTATAAATGTACATGAGATTAATAAGAAAACAAATATAATGTTTATAAGATACTATCTACATATATATACGTGTTTCTAAAAAGATAAATATATGATTTGTTTACAAAAAAAAAAAAAAAAAAAAAAAAAAAAATTACATATTCATAATTTAATAAAAGAAAAAATTTTTATTATAAAAAAATATTGAATTTTAATTTATAGTTTGATACGAACATTTTAAGGTATATTAAAATAGTTAAAAATTGGATAGCTTAATGCCTCTTCTATGGAAGGTCTGAACTCATAATCAAAATTAAGTAAATATTGTATATAATTTAAAGTTATATCTGAAATTTTTTGGTTAATTTTGGGATAAGTTAAGCCTTTTTTCATTTTATTAACTAACAATTCTTTTGAACATTTTTCAAGGTAATTAAATTGAAAAGCTCTTTCACAAAAAAGCATTTCATAAAGAATACACCCAAGTGACCATATGTCAATTTTATCTGTAATAAGCAAATTTTTTTTATTTTTTAAACATTCGGGAGGTTGATAATATAAAGTTCCACCTCCATTATAATATTGACAAGTATCAGGTAGAATTAGTTTAGCTAAACCAAAATCTGAAATTTTTATTATACCATCTTTTATTAATAGATTTGCTGGCTTTAAATCACAATGATGGACTTTTCCTGTAGGTAAATTTTTCATATATAATAAACCAAGTAATATTTGCTTAATCCAACTTAAGGCTAAAATTTCATTTATCGGACCATGATATTTAATATATTTATCTAAATCAATATCACATAGTTCCATGCCAACTAGTAAATTTGTTGCTGAACCAAAAACAAAAAAAAATTCTAATTTTACAATAAAAATATGCCTATGACAATGTATGTGAATATTTATTTCGTTTTCCGCTCTTTGTATTATTTTATTTTTGATTTCATTTGACATACTGGGCTCAATTTTATGAATTTTTGCAGCATACATTTCTAAATTTATTGAATCAAAAACTTCCCATACTTCGGCAAAACCTCCCCTACCTATTAAATTCATCATACGTATATTTATTTTTAATGGATTGTAAAAAGAAAATTCTGAATTTTCTTGGAAATTAAAGTGATCTAAACGCTTCTCAAGTATTGCTCTTTTTTTGTCTAAGTTTAATTTCATACTAAATAGTTCTGTATTTAAAAACTGTATATTTTTTTTCAAATACTTTTTTAAATTTATATCAACTTCACTTTTTGTTAATAATGATAAGAGAGATAAAAAAAATTTTAATGTGTGTTCAGTTGCACGACAATTAGAAAAGTGTGTGCCATCCCTAAATGTGTCTCTACTTGGAGGTAGAATAGATCTTTTATGATTTTTTTTTTTTAACATTGTTAACCATGATAATTCAGCTTCTTCTTCATTTTCATTTAAAATTAAATTATAATTTTTTACTGATTTAGAAAAAAAGCTATAAGGATATTGTTCAAATACTTTGTAAAATATTTCATTATTTATTTTTTCTTGTTTTTCATTAATAAAAACTAAATTTTTTTTTTCACATATAGATCTAATTATATCACTTTCTTGTTCACTTTCATTGTCACTTAAGAATTCTTCTACTTCATATCTATGTTTTTCTTTATCACTGGTCTGTTTTTTACTTTCACAATTATTAGATTTTTTGAAAGTATATTTTTTTCCGTATTTATTTACGTAATTTTTTGTAACATTTTTCACCACTTTTTTGCAGTTCTCGTTCTCATTTAATTTATATATTTCATTACTATTTGTTGAGACTGAATTTAATTTATTTTTAAATTCCATTAACTTGCAATGAATTTTCTTTTTATAGTATTTGTTTTCTTGCTTATTATATTTAACACATTTATTTTCTTTTTCATCGTTTTTAACTTCATAATTTATCTTTTCAATTTTACATTTATTATATTCATTATATTTTTTATTGTCTTTAGAAGATTCTTCTTTTTCATTTAGATTGATTTTATTTTTTTCACCCTGTTGACTTTCGTTATCAAATTTTTTGTTTTTTACATATATATATTGTAAAGAATTTTTTATAATATATGAATTATTAGGATTTTCGTCGTTAATGGAATTTAGATATATGTTTTTTTTACTTTTATCAATGGTATTATATCCTTCATTGTTCCCTAAAATATATTTACATTTATCAGATGAAATTTTGTTTCTTTCACTTATTTGATTATTCCTTGAAAAAGAAATATCAGGTTTTAATTTTTCGCTAATTTTCTTTTTATAGTTAAAATTTCTTATATCATGATAAGCATGTCTATCAAGATTTCTTTTATTTAAAATAGAATAAAAATTTATTGGTTCTTTAGAAAAATTTTCTAATAGTTTTCCATATTCTGTAGTATCTAAATTATTTTCATCTGTTTGTTCAATTTTATAAAAATATCCATATTTTGACTGCTCATGATTCAGCAATAATCTGTTAACTGATCTTTCTAACTGTTTTTCTTTTAATATAGACTCTAAAATTAAGCCTTTTAAAGAATTAATTTTTTCTTCTATTTCATCACAATCTTTTTTATTTTTTTCCAAATAATTTAAATCATTTTGAAATAAGTTATAAAATTCTTGATTTTTTTGTTGTTCTTCTTTTTTCTTGAATATTTGTATTAAATTTTTAAAGTCTATAACAGATAAATTTTTATTATAAAAATATGTGCTAACCATATCTAAATAAAATTTCTTTACACTTTCTTCTTTTATATTTTCTATTGATTTCAAAAATTTTTTCAAAATACTATTTATTAAATCTTCTAGATTGACTTTATTAGATAATTCTTGATGTAATCTTTTTATTATTAAGCTATTTTGTATTTTAGACATTAATTCTACTATAATTAAATGGTTTCTCTGCTTTCTTATTTTTTCTATTCTAAAATTTGGAATTATCATTTTTTTAAATCTTTTTATAAATTCAATTTTATCTCTAGATGACTTAAAAGTTTTTTTCTCTATTATTTCTTTAAAAACATTATTTGGTTTTTTTAATTCTTCTAAATTCTTTTTTAATTTCTTCATTATGTCTAAATTTTTGTAATAACTTTTTAAATCAAAAATAATATAACACTTAACATTATTTATGTATATTTCATATTCATTAATTAAATCATAAAAAAATTGCATACTTTTATTATTTAAAATATTATGATTTAAACTATTTTCATCTTCTTCTCTTACATCTTTTGAACTTGTGTTCTGATTATATTTTTTCTTCATATTATTACTAAAATTATTTTTGTTTTTTTTGCTGTTATTGCACTCTGAACTGTTATATGTATTAAAACTTTTTCTTTTTCTTCTTTCTTTCTTATATTCAAGTTTTACTGTATTATTATCATCTATATGACTTTTATCATTTATTTTATCATTGTATTTTTCTTCGCAATTATCATTTACCTCATTATTATAGTTAACCTCATTTTTACAATTAATTTTGTTATTACAACTTTCCTCATCTTTAATGTTAATCTCTACTTCAGAATTATTTTTCTCTTTTGATACAAAATCTGTTTTCAATTTTTTTGAGGTATCTACAGAATTTCTTTTTATAAAATAATGTTCAATATGATGTTCATTTTTTTTATCATTCTTCTCTGTTTTCTTGTTAAATTTAATTATGTTTTTAAAATTATCATTTTTCAATCTAATGAAGCATGGATTATATAAACTATTAATTTTAATCTCCGTTTTTTTCAGAAAATATTTATTATTCTTTTCGTCAAAATTATAAAGTTTAAATTCGAAGCCTATTCCTGGTATAATTAATAATTTATTAAGAGTGTCAATAAAAATTAAGGGATTTGTTCTTAAATAATCAGTATAATTTTCGTTTTTATATTTTTCTCGAAATTTAATTTTTTGCTTTAATAAAAATACAAATGTGTTTTGTTTAATATTTGAAGTACTGTAATCATTGTTATCATCATATGAATATAATAAGCTTAATTTTTTAAATTTATCCACATTTTTATAAATAATTCCGTTAATATAATGTAATAAATCAGTTACTTCAGGATAATTTATCTTTAATTCATACTTGAAAATTTGATCAATTTTTGGCATTTCATTTTCCCTTATCAAAATACTTTTAACTTTTTTTATTCTTTGTTTTAAAAATGTTTTAGATACATTAACTTCATTATCATCCATCATTATACTTGTTAATTATATTTATATTTTTAACACAAAATAAAAACAGCAAAAATACAATTCCATTCAAAGTAATAAAGTAATTTTTTTAAAGATAAAAAAAAAAAAATTTATAAATTACTTATTAAAAATTTTCTTTTTCATAAATTTAGTACTTTTTAAAAATGAAATTAATATTTTAAACTTTTAAAGGTAAAATTCATGCATTAATACAGCTCAGTACAATACATGAAAGCATATATCTTGTGTAATCATAATAAAAAAATAAAACAAAATAATAAAATTTATATGAATATGTAGGTAAAAGTTTAATTATTTATAAATATTTTTAAAAATAAAGTTAGTAATAAAAAATTTTATCTTTTATGAGATGAAAAAAAAATTATAATAAAAATATTTTTTTGAATAAATGTGTAAGACTAAAATTTAAAAATTTTAAAAGCAAATTTTTTTTTAATATATGTATGATAACCATTAGGCTTTAAATTTTTTATCCTTCCTGTTTATATTATAATATAAACAGTTTACATCTAATATTGAAATTTATTTTTAAATATATATATTTGCTGAGATAAACATTTTATATAAATGAATACATTTTACAATTTTTTTGTGAGTTCCTTTAATTTTTTAGTTGTTTCATTCTTAAAAAAAAAAAAATTATTTTATTTTATACTCTAAAACTATATGTTAAGGTATATTTTTTTTTTTTTTAATATTTTAGTTATTTTTTTGTATTATTATTTTAATTCCATATAGACAGAAAAGTTTCATGTAAATTTCCTTTTTTTTTCTTTTTATATAATTCCTTTTTTCTTTCACATGTATTATGATAATTTACTAAGTTGTTAAATTATATAATCATTTGGTTTATTTCTATTTAAAACATGTTGAAAAACATCATAATATTATAAACAATTAAAGAAATTTTATTAATTTCAATTTTTTTTAATTTTTTAAAAATAGCATTTAGAATAAAATTATTGTATTAATTTACATATGTGAATACCTTTAACAAAAATAAAGCTAAACTTATTATAATTAATATCAATTAATTTTAAATAAAATATATTTTAATATAAAATAATATTTTATTTTATAAAACAAACAATAAAGTAAATTTTTTATATACAGAAGTATTAATACTTTTTCTTACAGTATATAATTTGTTTTAAGAAATAAAAAATACCCATTTATTATCTCATCTAAAGAACTATGATATGAAGTTAAAAAAAAAAAAAAAAAAAGAGTATGAAACCAATTATTTGGTATAGACTGGATAAATAGGAGAAACTATTGAATATAATAAATAATATATAAGTTTAATTAATTTAGTGTATAAATGGAGAAAATATTATTAGGATCTAAGTTTTATTAGAAAGTAAAAAGCTATTTTAAAGTATATAACTTAAAATTTGTTTAAATTATTATAAATCTGAAACAGGAAAATTAACTTTTATAAATTATGATGGAAATAATAAAATATTTACAGAAAAGAATTGATTTTAAAAGATAACAATTAAATTTCCTAAGGATTATAATAGTTAATATAAAAATTATTAAACGAAATCATCATTATTTTTAAAAAGTTAAACCATGTTTGAAGAAATATGTAACTCTTAAGAATAATTATTAATTTGAGATTTTTTTTTTAAATAAGTATTCCAGAAAAAAATTAAGTATATAAAAAGAAAATATTATATGCTATTTTTTTTATATATAATTTTCTTCTATATGTCTTCTACATTTCTTTATATTATTATATTCTTTTAAATTTGTTTTCTATTTATTTAAATTATATTTATATAATATTTTCTACATATTCATAATATATTACATATGAAAGTTAAACTTGCTAAATATTTGTAAATATTACTACAATTTTTTAAAATATAAAAAACAATACATATTGATATTATTTCTTTAACTCAATAAAATTCTATATATTTTATATAAATAATGAATTACAATTCCTACAAAAGTATTAATTCGTTAAAAATTTTGAAATTTTAAAACATAGTAACTTAAAAAAAAAAAAGTATATTATGTTTAAAAATTTCTCTAAATAAATACTTACATAAGTATTATTTTACATTTAATATTACTTACATTTTTGTTACTAAGATTAATGAAATTTATAATATGTTCCTTTGATGTAACTAGGAATAATTTCATTTATAAAATTTTTTTTATTTTAATTTTTTTCAGTTTTTAGATAAAATGTATTCAAAAAATTAGATTCATTTATGCTAACTACTTTTATTTATTTGAATTAAACATATTTAATATTATTTTTTCATAAGTCTTTTTTTAAGGTTACTATTTCTCTAAATTATATATTTTATTTTGTCATTTATATATAAAGATTTATTTCCTTTCTAATTGAGAATTATTATTAATCCTTAATATGATATGAACATTACTAATTTTTTAAAAGATAAATTTTTAATTATATCTCATCTATAATTATCAGTATGTTTTCTTTTAGAATTCTCTTATAGATAGTAGAAAGAAATTTTTTAAGTTAACAAAAATTTTACATTTACTATAGAATTAATTACTTAAATCTTAGCAAGATTATTTAAAAAATCATAGAACTTTTAAATTGCTATAAAATTCATTAAATAATTTTAAAATATTTTAATTATTAATCATATTAGAATTTAATAACAACTTTGTTAATTGTTTTATTTAACAATTATGTTTGAAATATTCTGCAAAAAAATTTTGAAAATTTGTTAAAAAAAATTATGAAACTTTATTAATTATAGATATTTATTGTTAGAGAAACTGAATAAATCATAAGAAAACAAAATAAATGTTTTTATGAAGAGATAGTATGACGAAAATTGTCTAAAATTTATTATTTATATTAGAAAAAAAAAATAATTTTATATTTTTTTTGAAAAAGTTATTTACAAATAAAAGTGTATTTTCTTTTAAAAATATTTCAATGAGAAATATCCAATAATTTAAGATTATAGATATCGAACTTTTTTTTTTATTCAATTCATTTAACTAAGTTAAAATTCACATACTTTAAAAAAAAAAATACTACTATGCACAAGTTTAAAACGATCATTAATGAACATTTTACCATAAAAATCATTAAGAATAGAACATATAATGAAAGAATACAAGTACTATAGAACTTACTGTTATATATAAAAATATAAAAAGTTATTAATAAAAAAAAAAAAAAAAAAAAGAAAAAATACATTCTAAGGGAATATTCTCATTTAGAATATTTTACAGTATTTGTATAATAATATTATAGAATGTAATTGACAGTAAATAGGTTTAAATAATCCACAAATTTTCTAAAAACATTACATGAAGAATTAAGAGTTTTCCCGTCTAATTAATTTTAAAATGAACATTAGTTGTTCAAATGATGTATTAAAAAATATTAAAAATATTTTTCATATGTAAATTTTTTTTTGGTTTTATTAAATTATTGTGTTTAATTTGTATAATTTTTTTTTTATAAAATTAATGAAAGAAAAGGAAATAAAATAAATATTTAAACATGAAAAAGATGTCTTTTGTTTAATGGAATATACTCCAGAAAATTTATTTTTTTTTTACATATAATTTACGAAATTTTTCATTTGCTATTTTTTTAAAAAAAGATGTTTATTACATTTTTTTTAGACATAATAAATAGAATATATTATTAATTTTTTTTAAATGTTTAATTGAATTATGTAAAGTATATTCAAATATTATATATACCTGTAAAACATTTAAGGAAAATAACTTGGTTGCCTAGCTAAAAATGTTGTCTTAGAATATGTACATTAAAAAAAAAAAAAATTTTTTTTTTTTTTTTTGGGGCTATATATATTTTTTTTTTTTAAATATGGTGGAACTATATTTATTGATTATTATTTTTTTTTTTAATTTATTTTTTATGAATTTTTATTTTATTATAGTAAATTTTTATTAAAGATCTAATAATTGATTAGTGATAAATTTTTTTTATTACTGTAGAGAAAAAAATTTGATGAAAGATAATATTATTAAGTTATATAATATTTATATTTATTAAATATTTAAGTTTTATAAAAATGAATAAGAATTGTTATTAAACAATTTAAATATCATTTGAATTTATATATTGGGGACAATAAAGATATTTAGTCAACTATTTCTATAGTATTATAAATACCATATTCAATAAGTTATTTACTTCCTATCATATGTAGCAATTATATGAAGATATATAATGATAATAACAAGTATTCTTACAATAAATAATATTAGTAGGAATTATTCTACTTTTTCTTTTTTAATTTGATTACCCAAATCATTAAAAAAGTCTTTGAACAGCTATTAAGTAAACATTTAAATTAAATTATTCACTATATAATAGTTATTACTAAAAAAAATAAATAATATTTAACTAATTTCCATTTTATAGAACTAAAAAATTAAATGAATAATTAATTATGAAGTTGCAACTCTTAAAGAAAAGAATAATTAAAAAATATAAAACTTTATTTAATTTTTGTGAATAAAAATATCTAATTTATATCTTATTGTAACATTTAACTGAATAAATATAAAGTAAAAAGTTTAACTACTACACTAGAATAGAAATAATAACTATAGAATATCTAATAATTAAAAAAATATTTAAGTTTTAAGTGAATTTTTAATATGATAAATACTTTGCAGGAAAATATTTTTTATATGAGTTAAGATCTACTGAAATAAATTTAAAGTAACTATTCTGTTATTAATATAAATTTTAAAAAAAGTTGAATAATTTTTCATTTGTATAATTAAAAAAAAATTATTCTTCATTGAACTTTTTAAATGATTTGTCTTTAATTAGAATATTTATGATTTTTCTTTACTACCATTTCTAATGAATAATAAATGTATATAATTTTTCTTTTATTTAGAAATACATAATTTACTTTTATTATGTATCCATGATTTTAGGTTACAAATGGAAACTATTTCTTATTTTCTAATTCTTTTTTTTTTATTGATTA